GCAACAAGACCTGAACGCAGAAGTATAAATGCTCATAACGGCGTCGCCTACGTGCGTAGCCAACGCCGCACATTACGGCGTACCCTCGACGCAGAAGTATAAATTGGCCTTAAGCTCCAACTCCAACATGATCCACTCTCTTTCAGTCGCTATTGCTTGTAGTAACCTAGCCTGGAGGAATCTAAGCACAGTGGAACATTAAAACCCTCCGCCGCCTCCTAGCGTTTCGCAGCAGTACTGCAGAGCAACCAATACCTGAACGCAGAAGTATAAATGCTCACAACGGCGTCGCCTACGTGCGAAGTCAACGCCGATGAATGAGCTTTTTAAGCTCAACGTCGCAGCAGCAGATTGGTGAAGCGGCGCATGTCACGTGATCCCAATAAAGACACACAGCCAACGAACAATCCGCCACCTGAAAACAATGAATGGACACGCAGAGAGAGAGAGAGAGAGAGAGAGAGAGAGAGAGAGAGAGAGAGAGAGAGAGAGAGAGAGAGAGAGAGAGAGAGAAAACACAAATACACGTGGAACGTAACAATAATAATGGAATATACACCGAACAAATAACTGTAATATTACACTTAAGACAGCATATCAAGTGTAGGGAAACTTGGGGATATTCGTATTAGCTCAGATACAAGGAATATAATTTTAATAACTAAACATGAATCATGATTGGTGAATCACCTACAAATTATAAAATTACCCATAAAGGGCAAAGTTACCGACTGTTACGATGCAGTAGACACAAGGGGATCCATTCGCAGCATTAGTCAAACAGGCAGGGATCGACAACAGCATACAAGGCAATGGAGACAAGGCAGAGACAAACCAGATACAAGTAAAAGGTAGAGGCAGGCAGAAAGAATCAGAGTTCAGTGAAACAGTCCAGGGTCAGGGCAGGCAGAGAAGGGTCAGCAAAAGGTCACAGGTCAAACACAGGAATCAAACTCGGGAGGATAACACTCAGAATTGCAACCAACAGTAAAACAAGACTTTGAAATAAGTGAATGTGAAAACCAGGTATTTATGGTGTGAACTAAACAAGATAATGAGAAACAGGTGAATGAGATGAGTGCTGATGAGTCCGGGCAGTGAGTTATGGGAAATGTAGTTTGTGAGTGAAACATGATCGTCTGGTGTGGAGTGCCCTCTAGTGACTCTCAGGGGCTCTCCAGCTGGTGAGTTTGGACAGCCGAGCACAACGAATTATGATCAGTTCAGCGAAAATAGATCAATTCTACTATCAGTAATCAATCATAAGAATTATAATTAAACATTAATATGTCAATTGTCTAAAATAGATTGATTGCCAGGTTATAGAGACCAAATATGCCACATCTGATTTGGGTTACCCATAGTATGCACAGTCCGGAACATTAGGTCATTAGAGTTTGTCTGACACATCTAGAGAAGTCATGATTACACATGTAGTAATATATCGTATTCTTTTCAGAATTTGTCACGTTACAGATTTCAATGACGGAATGTCTGTTTATGTGCGTGCGTTTTGGAGTGTGCCTCCTGGCACTGAGATAGTGGTCTGTTTGAGGCTTGACCCCTGGCTGTGTGTGTGTGTGTGTGCACACAACGTTTGGTTCTTTCCGGAAAGGGAAGGCTTTTGTTTTAACTCAGTTCACTATGAAAGTGTCAATGAACGCCATTAGGAACAGACTCCCTGGAGCTCGCTGGTGAATTACTAGCATGAAAGTCAAAGGTTAAAAGCTTTTCAACTGTGGATCTGAATGAGCCCCAACTCTCAGAGTCCTGATACTCTACATAAGAGTAAAGAAACCTAATAATTCTTGGGCTGCTGGAGTTTCTGAGCTGGTGTCAAGTTATATGAGAATCTAACTGACGCTAAAGGGTGCCTAAAGCGTTAGATATTGAAGCATGGTCAAAATGCTTCAGGGGTGAGAATGGGTTGTTACTTATGTTTGCAGCTTAACACATGACACATTTGTTTTATTAATAATATACACTTGAAAAGGATCACAATGACTAAAAAAATATATATCTCTTATTGATTTGTCATGTAATCATTTATATCTTAAATATCATTCAGTCAAATATTATCAATCACATTTTAAGAAATAATTATTTTCATCTTTTAACATTATAGGGGGGTTGTGTACACACACTGCCAACACACAGTTATGTGCAAACACTAAGAAAAAATGAATTTTGCATAATAGGTCCCCTTTAATTTGTAAAGGGGTCTTATAATGCCAATTTTATACAAGTTAATGATTCTTTTAGCCTGGCTGCGCCCTCCTATGCACTTCCGCTCAATTTCATTTTCCGTACAAATGAAATGTACTAGAGTCTGGTTGAACCAGGCTATGATTCTTTAGGGTCTAAATGAAAAGTTTGTAATATACTTTAATTAAAAATTCTCATTAGTATTGTAAAAAAACATTAATTTTACCTGGTCAAAAACAGCTGTTTTCAGAACGCCATTTAAGTGCATGTGTCTTTAAATGATAATATGATTTGGTTACCCCACCCCTCTGTTCTGTGGGGGCTTTGACACAACACATGTAAAGTGTTGCCTTGACAACAGTTGAGGGTATGTTTTGGAGAAAGGATGGATCCTGAGACGGGAAAACATAAGGAGATTTTTTTTTTTTTTTTTTTTTTAAACATGATGGTTTATCATGAGGGTTGTGTCCAGGCACTGCTAACACACACACAGTACAATCAACTTGTAAAAGTGCATGTACCATTATATGACCCTTTTAAGCACAATCCACTTAGCTATACAAATCATTTCAACTTAAATGACATTAAACTGACTAAACTGAAAACTGGGACTGCAATCACTTTCAAATTACTGTAGAGTGTGTATTTATGATTAATCGAAATACATTTCTTGCATACAGCTCTTTTAAGAAATTAGTTGAATCTTGTATAAATTGAAAATAAAGTTTGTTTATTATTTAGTGAGGTAGTGTTGACTTGCAGTGTCCAAACCAGAGACAGCCAGCTTTAAAGTTGAGAGATGGAACACACATATAAAGCACAGAACATTTGCTACGTCATCATAAATCAATGTTTATTTGCGATAATAATATTAACAGCAATATTAAGAAACTCCTGTTGTAAGAATAGCTAATGGGCTGAAGTACATCATGCTCCATTGTTAAGTAACATTACAGACGATAATGTCACATTGCCTTTCATTCCTTCCTTCACGAAGTGCATTCAAAATGGCTAAATAATGACACACAAGTCCTCACTTCAAAGTATCTGCCCTTTGGAATGAGTAGGGCAAAGGGATACTCATTTCCGATTGGAATTTGCCCTGACATAAAATACTATAAATACACTGTTTTTAATGGATCCTCCAATTTTCAGTGCAGTTACAACACTGATGCAGCAAATATTATTTAGTACCAACACAATGATTAAGTAAATTTATCAAGGAAGTGAACACAATAAATGGAGTCAAGACAAAATGCAAAATAATTGTTGCATTAGCTCATTTTAATAAAGTAAATTGATGAGCAAAAATCATCTTGAGTGAATGCCTTTTGTTTCAAGTCTGAATCATAAACAGTTTATTGCAACATGATCATGTCATTTTTTTATGAATGCATTTAATTTTGCTTGGACTTACACAATATAATCATAGTCTCAAACATAAATACAGTAGTCAACATTTGAAGTGGATCAAAAAAGTAAATCAAAGTTGACAAGACAAGAACGGGTCGGGTAGTGTTCAAACTTCATGCATAACTTTGATAACAGGTTTTGATCCACTTCAAATGTTGACTACTGTATATTAAACCCATTGTAAGCGTATTGTTTTAGCTGTTTCAATAGAGCATCTTTCCTCTTTTTTCAGAGAGACATCAACGTTGCACAATTAAAATAATGCAATTTTTCATACCTGCAGTTTGAACAAAAAAAAAAAAGAAAAGGAAAAAGAGCCCTGTTATCCGCCCAAATGATGAAGCATATTGTCTATATGCATGTTGTGCAATTAAACTGGATGCAGCCTGCGACTGGGTGGGGAAGCCCATGGTTTATTTCTTCATAACCATTATTAACAGAATGATTGTGAATTCAAATATCACCAACAAGCATTGTGTCTCTATAGACTGTCTAAAAGGTGTTACTTAAGTTACAATGAAGTATAAAAGCATCTGCTTAATGACAAATAAAATTCCACATTTATTTTCTTGTAAACATTATTAATCAAAAGGCTTAAGTCCTGCTGATTTCACACAACAATCAGACATATACCAATATTATCTGCATGTAATGTGAGCACAACAGTGGTGGCCTGAAACTGTCATTGGATATTTACATCTAAAGTTGGATTTTCGCATAAAACATTTGTGAAAGCACCATGTCCTGTAAATGTGCTTCCATCGTAGTTTATGTGAATGTCTTCTTAAATAAGCGCATGTTTTCAAGACAAAATTTACTTGGCATTTCCATCCAGTGTTTTATTTTATTTATTTTATGCAATATCCCAAAATGCACGTATAGAAACATGGCTATTGTTCAAACATGCTTTTACCCTTCCATATTCACTGTCATTAAATCAGTGATGCTCAGAGATATTCTTTCAAATAAACATAACCCGGCTATTTTAGCATGGATCAGTATTTCTACTAACCAGACAGATTCATTTACCATATTTTCAATTTATTAAATAGTTTATATCTTATTGTGAATGATTCATCCATGTATATCAGAATTCTACAATAACTTAAATCTCACCCCTTCACAATCAACAGCTATCTCGCATTATTTTTAAAGGGATAGGTCACCCAAAAATGTAAATTGTGTCATAATTTACTCATCCTCAAGTTGTTCCAAACCTTTCTTCTGCAGAACACAAAAGAAGGAATTTTGGGGTAATATGGGTAACCAAACAGTTGATGCGCCCCATTGACTTCCATATGGGGGGAAAAAAAAGACTATACGGAAGTAGTTCTTCTTTTGTGTTCAACTATCGCAATAAGTGCAATGTCCACATCTTAAAATCCAATCAACAATCATTTTATTTCTGGATATAAACCTGTTTCACGTCATATTAGGGATGAAATAAATAATGGATGCTGTTGCTGCTTCCTTTTTGTCACAATTAAAAAATATATATTTGAGCTGAATTCACATAAAATCAATGCAGATTTGAACGCACGCTTAGGAGTTGCATATTTGTTTTAGTTTTCCATTAAGGTTTTATTATTGTGCTTGTAAGTTAAAAGAATTAATACAAGGCTTGTTTGGATCCTTCATAATTGATTATAATTTATCATTATGACTTAGCACCTCTAAATAGTCGTCATACTTTAACCATAACAACTTGTATAATTCTCAAAAAAAAAAAAAACCCGCTAATGATCATTATTAAATTCACACAGAAAAATGGAAAAACATATCTTTATCTTATATACACTGCTACATCCTGAGAGGACATCCAGAGATAGAGCCATATTTAATGTTTCTGCACACTGGATTAGGCTTCAGACAGTAACATCATCCTGTTGAAATAACAGATAAAGTGTAAATATGCATGTTTAAGGCGGAAAAAACATTTGATGTGATGTGAACACAATTTGTGAGTTTCTAAACATTTGTAAATTTCAAAACATTAACTGTACCAACGGATGTGAACGGGAAAGTTTTAAGTTAGGTTTTATTATTATTTTTCATGGCATATTTTACACCTGTTGAAGTTTCTCCATCCTATGGATCTATTATCTGCTTTGCCCCTGATACATTATTATTGACAGCATCAGGGTTAGACGTGTTACAAAAGGTTTTCTCTGTGAAAAATGAATTGATTCATCCAAGTTGACTTTTCAAACCACAATCTTGTAATTTTGTCCCCATGTATTGTCAGGAACTAATACACAATTGAACAAAACTATGTATCTTGAATATGTTACACATACTAGGAGACACATTTTAAGGCAACTCAGATGAGGCACTCATTTTACAGTAGTGATGAGTAAAGTTTCTCCGTATGGCCCCAGATTATGTAAAACTCAATGAATGTGAATGAAAGTCATGAATGAAAGAAGGTTGTCTAACTCTTGATTGCTAATTTAATCAAAACACAACATCATTCAAACAAATGCAACACAAAAAAGGGGAAAAAAAGATTCTTTTGTTCACTCTAACGTGGAAAAAATGCTTTGAGACCCACACAGTAAACAATGCAGAGCAATAACAATAACAATGAAATAATAAATGGACAAACAGAAGAGATTTTTTGAGCTAGCGTATTAATAACTGTTGGCAGAGATCTAACGGAGTATGCAGCTCAATATCGGTGCATATGTGAACTTCATACCATGTTAAACTGAATTTGCCAACTTAAACATTTACAAGAGTAATACATATTTAATATTAAGCAAGTAGTTTGTTTATTGTCCCATCTCATCTGTTGTTAAATGTCAATCAGTCACACACCACTTACCATATGTCCTTATATAGATTCCTGCAAATCATTTTCATATATCACAAAAAATAAAGCCTAAGGTTTAGTAATTCCCATGATGACTGTAAATTGATTCTTTTTAGATTCTCCAAAAACAAACAAACAAACAAACAAACAAACAAACACACATACTCGGTAGAGTGCAACAATCAGGTTCTGGAAAAAAAACTCCATTCTTTTCTTCATAAGAAAAAATATATATTGTAACAATAACTGACAAACCTTAAGACAACAGACCTACTGTGAGTTGAGGATGTTAATTGATGGTGTATGATTTTGTTGAAGACATTTGTGCACATTATTTCTTTATATATATATATATATATATATATATATATATATATAAAGAAAAAACATATTGTGTGAAAAAACATATTAGCCATGATGTGGTGCAGAAAATCTCACCAGTCGCTGCGAGCAAATTGCACCGAATTGCAATTGCAATTGCAATTGCAAAAAAAAAAAAAAAGGCTGGCAGGGAACGCACACCCTCCCATGTAGCACAGACAATGATGTTAACAGCTATCAAGTATTTCACCCAAATGGCCATCAGTATTGACAATTTTCTGGGATGATGGATGGATGTGATCAATGAAAAAAATTGATGCATTTGGTTAAGTTTTCTAAAGTAGCAACAGCTTCTCATACCAACAACTAGACATTGAAAATGAAACATGAGACCCATGTGTAAGAACAACCACAGACGGCAAATAAACAAAACAAAGAAATTTGATTTTAAAGAAACAAAACCCCTTAAACCAGCTTGGAAGAAGAAAGACTTGAAGGCACCAGTGAAAAGTTTACTCACAAATTTAAGATTAAATAAAATTCAAAACATCACCTGCTATCCAATAAAATAAAATTAAATTAAATACTCTAAACAGTTTTTCTTTTTAGCTGTAAAACTACATATAAAAGATGGGAAAGTCTGTGGTTATTCTGCAAAGCAGAATAGCATTCCATACATATTAAAAAAAATAAATATCTTCTTTTTTTTTCTTTCTTTGACACAAATCAGTTCCAATTGTGTCAGACTGAATGTGGGAAAAACAAAGCTCATCAAATAGTGTCTTTAGAGCACTGGTGCTTTCAGCTCATCAAAAGGTTCATAGAGAGAGAGAGAGAACACCCAAGCTAAGGATTGCAGGCAACTATTTCCAGCACACCCGACCCTCCAATTACAGCAGATTGAAAGTTTGATGGGTTACCCAAACCAATTATTGTCACTTAGTTTCCAGAGGTAAAAATATCTTGCAAGGCAGAATTTGAGTGTTGCACAAAATGAGAGCAAGAGGAAAAGGGGAGAAGAGATTCACATACACCACAGTTACAACCCCCAAATTGGCTTGTCTTCATGTTGCAGTCTATACCTTACTCCTGAAGAGTGGCTTGGCTCCAGGCCCACAGTACTCATTGTAGATGAGTTTGAAGAGGAAGAGGTGGAAAAGCGTGATGAGAGATGCCACACTGAACCAGAAGAGGAAGGGCAGGCCAGGGTACTGTTTAGCCATGTGGTCCTCGTGAGCCAAGATGGCCTTGACGTGCATCGTGTGCCTCAGGTCTTGCAGGTGAGTGAGATCGGTGGAGATGTACAGTAGAGGCGTGATGGGTTGGGTGACCATCACAGGAAACGTGTGACCTCGCAGCTCTGAGGTCAGCTCCACAGGCTCGTTCATGCAGCCGGCCTCGCAGGCGTACAGCTTCACAGGTTTCTCCTGAGGCTTGACGGACACATGCAGGAAGGGTTTGCCTTCGACGTCCTGCAATACGGCCAGGTTGATGAGGTCTTTATTATAATGGATGCCCCTCAAAGAGTAGCTGTTGTGAAGGACATCGGGGTCTGCCTGGAACTGAAGGTGGTTCTCGGTGAACTGCAGACCTCCAAAACTGAGGACCATGCCTTGCATCATACCATGAGTGCCGGCTGCAACAAGTACCTTGCATCCTCTTTTTTGGAAAGTCAAATTCCAGAGATTCACAAGCTGCAGGATCTGAGCTACGTTGGTCAGACGCTCTGGCCACAGGTTCTCGGCATGCATGGTGGCGTGGCCGCTGAAGCAGTGGTCAGCGTAATTCAGACTGGACTCCAGTCGTTCATGCTCTTCTGCTGTGAGACTCTGATCTAGCAGGGGTGCTGTGGAGGTGGACAGAATGTAGTATAGGGTGTTGTTGACTGTACGACTAGATGGAGTATGGGCATCTGTGATCTTTCTGATTTCCACACCTGTAAAGAAGAAAAAGACTATGAAAGATTTCATTTTAGCTTCTTAAAGCAAGTGAACATGAACAGAAACCCTAAATGGGTCGTCATAAACGTTTTCCCTTTAGTCCACCAATATTTTTTTATATTTAGGCATATATATATTTTTTTTAATTAAACGGTACAATTTTTGCTGCTCTGCCTTTATCATTTCTATGCTCACATGTGAAATGGGAAACAGCATTTGGACAGCAGGTTTGCTTTTGGGCCTTATATTTGCATTGTCCCAAGCAACTCGTATATGTGTAACAAACAAAACATTAAATAATCAAGAAACTGTTTTAAATCTAAAATATCTTGAACTAAAATAATATGAACTGTGTTCCGAAGATGAACAGAAGTTTTACGGGCTTGGAACGACATGAGGGAGAGGCATTAATGACATAATTTTCATTTTTGGGTGAACTAACCCTTTAACAAATTGACTTCAAATGGTTATTAATGGAACAGCATTTTCCCCAATTTATCTTTTACCATTTTTGCTGTCTCTCAAATGCGCACACACTCTGTAAATCATCACATGGAACAAAACGATATCAAACCAGAAAGCAAGACAGCAGCATAACAGGAATTCACCCAAACCGTTTTCTTTTTTTGGCAAATTTTCTGTAAAAAACTGTCCAAACACTATTATCGCCATTTCTTCTTGTCCGTCATCCACCATGTTTGTTTACACTAAATTCATGTTTGACTGCGAGAGAGAGAGAGAGAGAGAGAGTAACTAGAGAGTTGATTACCCCATTGACTTCCATAGTAGGTAAAACAAATACTATGGAAGTCAATGGGGTACATTATTCTTCCAAGTTCCTTTTTTTGTGTTCAGCAGAAGAAAGAAATTGATACAGGTTTGAAACAACTTGAGGGTGAGTAAATGATGAGAGAATTTTCATTTAAGCGAACTATTCCTTTTAAGAAAAACAGCTTCTCAAACAAGAAAAAATAGGGCGGGACTGATTGGATCATTGTTTGCCAATTGCTGTGATCTCGTGTGAGTGACAGGTTGCTGAGGGAGAGATGTTATTTTTATATGCAAAATGATGTGCACTAAATGTTCCATAAAAATACAAATTTTCAATTTTGATTTCATGGTAACTTTAAGCTCAACAGTTCACACAAGCATCTCAGACCTCATCAGCTTTTCCTTCATCTCATTCCTCAAAATAAAATCTAAACAGCAGAGGCTGGTAGATAAGGTCAATTTACACAGCACTCAATGCTCATATTTGGCTATATGGTTTCCAGTTTTCAAAATGAACTTGTTTACTTTTTATGTATAAGGTTTTGAGTTAAAAGTAAAATATTCTGTTTTTTTGTTTTGCTTTTTCATAGCATGTTAAACACTTTGGAGAAAAAAAAAAGTTAATATATTGATTTGTCATGAAATGATTTTGTAAGGATTCATTAATTAGGAATTCTACAAAATACATTTTAGGAGCAAACCTGAAATGTATATACTGATATTATTTACAATTAATAATAATTATGTCAGTAGACTGTACTCGGTCAACTTGCCAGATATGAAGAGATCCACCCATGCTTGCTGGTGATCCTGCATTAATTCTTCCACATTAGCTCGGAGGACATCTACCATCTCTCTTTTGACTCCTTCTCTGAGTTTGCTGAGAGTCTCGTCCAGTTTCCCACTCTCGGTGGGCTCTGACGTGTGAATCACACTCACCAGGTTTTCTGAGTATTCAGATTTTGGAGGAACCTGGATCTTGGTGCCCAGTCTCTTTGTGGCCACCACCACTAACACAGTGTCCTTCTTTTCCGTGAGCACCCTACCCGAGGACAGTATGAATTCTTTGTCCTCCATCTTCTCGATGGTGCTCCTAAATGAAAGAGTCTCCATGACCACGTCAATCGAAACCACATGGTCTGTAGGGTTTGACACGTGAATCCTCTGAATATAAACATTGGGTCGGCTGCGATGCGCAACAAATTCCTCGCGTAAGACTATACAGTCATGAGAAGACTGAGAATTAGTTGTCAGGAAGCACCGAGAGGACAGCACAGAGCCTTTTCTGTACCACAGCATCAGTCCCCGAGCTTCAGAGAGCGTTCCTGGCACCTGCAACCGCACTATCGGGCTGTAGTCTGTTTGGTGAACCGGTGCGGACCCAGGCTGTGAAGATGAAGCTACCCAGAGTTTGTTAGAGTCCACATCCACCAGAAAATGTCCATTACCGACCACAACTGGTACTGATTCTTTGGTTTGGGGGTTAAGAACCACTCCCTCCCCTCTGTCAACAAGCGAAACCCACCTGTGAAGATCAGTCTGCAAACACACCCCCGCAGCTCCCCCAGGCTCCCTAGACATGTTTAGAAACTTCAGGAGCCCATCTGAACTCAAATACCAGTAGAAGATGAGGAAGAGCAGTAATCCAACCAAAACACGGCGGGCCCAGCTGCTCGAAAGCAAACCAGGCAGCCCCTTTAACCTCTGCTGAAGCCACATGATGTGCCTTTTGCTCCAAATGCTCTTTGACGGTTTAAACATAAACTACTGCTTTTGTCTTCAGTTGAGGCTGGGAGATATATATGCTATATAGGGCATCAGTGACTTCCTGACAACAATAAAAGCTGGGAGTGGCAAACAGCTTTGGCAGGCATACTTAGTAGCTATCAAACTTAACTTGAGGAGGAAAACGCTAAAGCACACATATTTTTCAAGAACTTGGTCTTGCAGTTATTTTCCGCTAAAATACATGCAAAATTAACTCCAGACATTTGTCAAACGAGCCACTTCTGTCAACAGAGAGTTTGCATTAATTCCAGTTGGTGTTATCAGGCTAGTCAGCTGACCAGTCAACACATTTCTGCTCACCCAGTTCGCGTTCACTCTTCAAGATTTACTTTATCGCGTCGAAGCAATATTTGCCTCACGTACTTATGTGTGTCTGCAAGAGTGTATATCCCCGTTGTTTGTTTGCTGTATCATGTTGTAAAGTGTACATGTCATGTCTTAGCCAGTTGACATCTCTCTGTTTGTGGAAGGAAACCTGGCTGCCGTAAAAATACCGGAAATGTCGCAGTCCATAATCTGTCGTAGTTCAGGGCGCTTCAAATCGCTGTTCTACAATCAGCTGTTGGGAGCCTGCGTTACGTCATTGCAAAGTAGCAGTGGAAGACGAAACTGATCCTGGACCAGTACATAATAGTGACCTGGAAACCTCTAAACGGCTTTACGGTACTATGACTGCTGCCTTTCCTGTGATAGATGATATTTTGCAATATAAAGAATATAAAGATACCTTTATGGGGCTGTATTCAGGTTGATCGGGACACTTTTTCTCAGTCACCTCAATGGCAAAAAGTGTCCCAAACAACCTGAATTCAAACCAAGAACTACACACAAATAATACATAAAATAATTTTCTGAATTTTAATAATAGATTCTTATAATTAGATCTGAACCACTAAAGGTAATTTATTGCTTTTTTTTGTTTTTTTTTTGTAATGAATTTATCTATCTGGCTACATCTACTTTAATATTTTGAATTACTGTGTATTTTTGTGACAAATTAATTTCAAGTTTACTACAGAGAAAGGAATTCAGTATAACATTTAAATAATTTATCAATTTTAATAATAGTATTCTTACAATATTTCCTGAACCACTAAATGTTTATTAATTTATTGATGTTTTTTATTTAATTTTTGTAATGTATTTATTTCATCTCTTTTAATATTTTGAATTACTGTACATTTTAGTGATTCGAGTATAATGAAGAGACATTTCAACTTATACGAAGTCCCTAAATGTCAGGTCAGGGCAAGTTGTCACATTTTTTAGGCAAGCTCATGTGTTTGAATTCAGGGATTGTTGAGCTTTTTCTTCCTCTGCTAGTGTGCTCAGGGATCGAGGGGTGGAGAAAGAAAGACAGAAGTGGGCAGGCTGTGTGTGTTTTTACGGGAATATAACTAACTTTCTCTCGAGGAAAGGCCTTATTCCCTCGGTCGCCGTTACTACAGGAGAGGTTTAAAGAATAACGGACCTGAACATGAGAGAAGTTCTGCTCTTTCTCGTGTGTTTGTTTGCGTCCTTTTCTCCGCTTCACTGCAGTCAGCAGGGCTTGATCCCCGAGGGTAAGGCTATGATATGATTTCAGCTTATAGATAACCACACTTCTGTACATGATAATGTAACTGGCTACAATTTCACCATGATTCATTGTAAGGGATCGTTGCAAACCTGACTTGCTAGGTAAAGTTAGCCAGGCGTTACGGACACACGCCGCTGACGTGGACCCTTCGTGCAGATATCAGTGAGTTTATGAGGATAAATTACGTTACAACAAAATTGCATTACACTAAAACAGTGCAAACAGTTTACTTCTTGTCTCAAACTGTAGTTGTGCGCAACATGAGTGCAATGAGTGCATTTATTACATTGTAGCTACCTAGTTTTCTCGTAACAGATTTATTGTCTAGGCAAACATGAATTAGCTTGTAAATTGCACTGCAAAAGAAAAGAAAAAATCACACATTAGCCAACATATGATTAAAAAGAAACGTATTTGTATAAATAAATGTCACTTTTGCGGCAGACCTGCTTTCTTGCGGCTGGATTAAACACTGAATATTCCAGCTGTGCACGGAGTTCCTCACGGGAGAAGATGTGGGAAACCCATTAGGATGTGCTCTTCCAGCACGTAGGCAGGAGAACTGAGCAGCTGTGGACATGTTCGACGGAGTTATCCTCTCTGAAAAGTGTATTTTTTCTTTCTCAGGAGATCTTCTAGTGCTCACTGTCGCCACGAAGGAGACTGACGGCTTCAGACGGTTTTTGAGATCCGCGAAACAGTTCAATTACTCCATTAAGGTACTCCATTTTTTATTCCGTGGCAGAAAACAAGCATCCATAATAGTCTGCAGACAGATGCCTGACATTCTTTTGCCTTTTTGTGTGTAGGTTCTCGGAAGGGGTGAAACATGGAAAGGTGGAGATTACATGTCACCTCCAGGTGGAGGGCAGAAAGTACGCCTGCTGAAGTCTGCCCTGGAGGAGAAACACGAGGAGAACAAAGTCATTCTTTTTGTGGACAGGTAGTTATGTCCATTATAAATACATATGCAAGATATATGTTGATGCATGTACTCTTTCAAGCACTTAATTTTCTCCACAGCTATGATGTAATCTTTTCCTCTGGTCCAAAAGAGCTGCTGAAGAAGTTTCAGCAGGCCAAACACAAAGTTGTGTTTTCCGCCGAGACTCTAATCTGGCCAGATCGTCATCTGGAAGACAAACATCCTCATGTCAGGGAAGGGAAGAGGTTCCTTGGAGCAGGAGGCATGTTTTTCTCTTTTTTCGATTATCATTGTAGAGCTTTAGATGTACTGAATGCTCTGTTTGCATTTTGTATAGTTTTAGATGCTAAATGAATTTGGATGCAAAAAAATCAGTCCTCCTGGGAAGTTTGTATTAACGAGTTGGAAATGCGTATTTACAACGTCATATGTGTTCAATTTCAAATCACCTTAGTTGAAATAAGATGTCAACGTCTTTATACGTTTATAAAATAGCAATTTTTTTTCACCCTATAATCAAGAATGCACATTAGGTGTGTTTTTGCTTTTTAAATGTTTTTATGTAGGTACTGCAACCTTAATTGTTATATATTCAATTGAATTTGTAAATTACATTTAGCTAGTTTAAATATGTATATATACACACAGCCCGGCCAAAAAAAGTTGTGGTTTGGATTTAAATAGGCAAATGCATAAGTCTATGATTGGATAATTATTGAAGTGATTATTATGTTTCTAGCATGTTATATGTTTGGTTAAGTTCTTCTAATCCTCGATCAATCGGGATTAGAAGAATTTAACCAAACATATATAACATGCTAGAAACATAATAATCACTCTTAGAAAAAAGGGTTCATTGGGGTTCTATATATGAAACATGGGGTTCTTTACTCAAGAACCTTTTATGCTAAAAAGGTCCCATAATGACAAGAAAGAATCCTTTTGGCACAAAGGTTCTTTATAGGCTATTATTCATTCATATATTACATAATTCTGCAACATTTTGTAGTTGTAATTAAATTATTGTTTATTAAACTGCTGTAGTAACTTAATATCACATTTTAATCATGCTGATTTTTGGATGAGAAAAACTGAAATGGCACCATATATGTTCCATATAGAACCCTTTTCCTGGTTACAAAAAAACCTTAAAGGGTTCTTATTATTGAACCTTTAAAAAAGGGTTCTGTGTAGAACCTTTTATGGGTTCCAAATACGTAGCGCTGATAGAACCTTTTAAGGTTCTATATAGAACCTTTTCTTCTAAGAGTGTAGTTTTTCATTACTTCACATCATGGCCATATTCCAGGATGCTAATATCAAGACTCATCAGGCTTGGATTGTGAAAGAATGATTGTGAGGAACATGACGAATCATTTTCACACACGATACGGCTCCTCTGAATCCAGACTTTAAAGGGCACCTATTATGGAAAATTTACTTTTACAAGGTGTTTGGACATAAATGTCTGTTGGCAGTGTGTGAGCAAAACCACCCTAGAATGATAAAAATCCACCCAGTGGTTTTTTTACAATCTCAATAAATCAGTCCCAGAACAAGCTATTCTAAGATTCAGCGCTTTGTGACGTATAATTGAGCAAGAAGATTGATTGACAGTGTGGTTGTGGCACAGACCCCGCCCTCGGTGATCTGTACACCAGAATCTGTCTCCTAGAATCATAAGTGTTCTGTTGTGGGATAGTCCTGTTGTGGGTTAAAAGTTAATTCTCAACTGTGGATCGTCGTCTACTGTTTGCGGTCCACCGTCACCTCCAGTAAGTGTATTTTATGTTTTTTGAGCAAATAGTCTTTTCAGTCGATGTCAGCCAATTCAACAACAAATGCGTCTATGCGTCATATTGCGACAATGTTAGTGTTTTTGTGTGTCTGTGTGTGTGTGTTGCACATCCATCATTTCAAAGGGGACGCGATTACAACAAATAACCATACCGAGACGTACTGGTCCATTCTCATTTGTGTTTATTCTTCCGTTCGTCATCTTGGTCTGATCAGAGACTTTATATATTCCGATTCAAACATGTATGCTGAATGACATTCAAAATAGCGGTCTCTCTCACTCTCTCAGCCAGTCTGCTTAGAGTGACTGCCATAGGTATTCTCCTATGTAAGTTACGCCCTTATCCAATGGCAGGGCGGGGATATGCAGCTCATTTGCATTTAAGGTGGTATACACCAAAACAGGTCATTTTTAAAGTCCCTGTAAAGTCAAAATTAAGTATGTGCTCTGAGTTTGTCACACCACAGAAAAATGTGTAATTAGCCACCCAGCCAAATTTGAATGATAAAAAAAGTCGGGAAGTACATAAAACAAGCTATCAAAATCATGAAAAAATGACCAGATTCTCTGCTCTCAAACGCTGGGGGCATGTCCGCTGGCTGTGCTGAAACCACGCCCACTCACGGGAAAGCTGTCGACGGTGATATTAGCTGATTAGCTTTTGGAGACGGGAGGATGAACACTGAGGCGGGAGATCGTCGTTTCGGCCCCGTTCACCAGTAACAGCGGATTATCAGTGAATTATCAGTGAATCCAAGTTGTCTCTGAGGAAAGTTTATAAAACGATCCAGTGTAAAATGATCACTACAGAGGCGGGTGTTGCTGTCGGTGATCCTCAGCTCGTCATCAAGGTAACGTTAGGCTCTCTAAAAATCTCTTCTTGATGTGATCCTTTTTAAGGGAATTTAAATGAAGATACCGATCTGTTTTGTACATGATCGCATCCAGGTAGTAGCCCATGCATGTCCGTGTCGAAGGCATAGCTAGCTAGAAAACCGTAGGCTCAGCTTTAGTAACTAATAGTACTGACAGTCACTCGCGATTGAGCCGTGAATGCGAATGTGCTCGGGGAGTGTGTGTGGAGAGGGGGAGATCAGACTCAGTGCGTCATCAAATAGGGGGGTGTCCAGCAGCTCATGGGTTCGCGTCACGGAGCCCTGTTTTAGCCCCGCCCAATTAATCCGTAAAATTGCAAT